AGGAGACAGCAGAGAGATGAGCTCTTCAGTCTGCTGCAAATGGGTATTAGAACTGTAAGTGAAAGTGAAACTGCAGCAAAGAAAGAGGACATAACCTCCCCATGTCAGGTTTCTGTGACGTAAAAAAAAATGAGACAAAGATAAATCATTTCAGAACTTTTTCCACTTTTAATGTGACCTCTAAACTGTACAATTCATTTGAAAAACAAACTGAAATCTTTTAGGGAGGGAAAGGAACATAAAAAAACTAAAATAATGTGGTTGCATAAGTGTGCACACCCTCTTATAACTGGGGATGCAGCTGTGTTCAAAATTAAGTAATCACATTCACAATCATGTTACACAGGAGTCAGTCCACACCCGCCATCATTTAAAGTGCCTCTGATTAACCCCAAATAATGTTCAGCTGCTGTAGTCGGTCTTTCCTAACATTTTCTTAGTCGCATCCTACAGCAAAAGCCATGGTCCGCAGAGAGCTTCCAAAGCTTCAGAGGGATCTCATTGTTAAAAGGTATCAGTCAGGAGAAGGGGACAAAAGAATTTCCAAGGCATTAGATATCCCATGGAACACAGTGAAGACAGTCATCATCAAGTGGAGGAAATATGGCGCAACAACAGTGACATCCCCAACAGTGACCTCACCAACAGTGACATCACCAACAGTGACGTCACCAAGAACTGGACGTCACTCCAAAATGGATGAAAAGACAAGAAGAAAACTGGTCTGGGAGGCTGCCGAGAGGCCTACAGCAACATGAAAGGAGCTGCAGGAATACCTGGCAAGTCCTGGCTGTGTGGTCCATGTGACAACAATCTCCCGTGTTCTTCATATGTCTGGGTGATGGGGTGGAGTGGAAGACGGAAGCCTTTTATTACGCAGAAAAACATTCAAGTCCGGCTAAATTTAGCAAAAACACATCTGAAGTCTCTCAAAAGCATGCGGGGAAATGTGTTCTGGTCTGAGGAAACCAAGGTTGAACTTTTTAGCCATAATTCCAAAAGATATGTTTGACACGAAAACAACACTGCTCATCACCAAAAGAACACCGTACCCACCGTGAAGCATGGCGGCAGCATCATGCTTTGGGGCTGTTTTACTTCAGCTGGAACTGGAGCCTTAGTCCAGGTAGAGGGAATTATGAACAGTTCCAAATACCAGTCAATATCGGCACAAAACCTTCAGGCTTCTGCCAGAAAGCTGAACATGAAGAGGAACTTCATCCTTCAACCACCCAAAGCATCCATCCAAATCCACAAAGAAATGGCTGCACCAGAAGAAGATGGAAGCTTTGAAATGTCTCAGCCAGAGCCCAGACCTGAATTCGATGGAAGATCTGTGGGTGGATGTGAAGAGGGCTGTGCGCAGGAGATGCCCTCGCCATCTGACAGATTTGGAGTGTTTTTCAAGGAAGAGCGGGCAAATATTGCTGAGTCAGGATGTGTCATGCTGATAGACTCCTCCCCAAAAAGACTGAGTGCCGGAATCACATCAAAAGGGGCTTCAACAAAGGATTAGTGTAAGGGTGTGCACACTTATGCAACCAAATTTTTTTAGTGTTTTATTTTTACTTCCCTCCACCTAAAAGATTTCAGTTTGTTGTTCAACTGAGTTGTACAGTTTATAGGTCACATTAAAGGTGGAAAAAGTTCTGAAATGGTTTATCTTTGTCTCATTTTTTCACATCACAGAAACCTGACATTTTAACAGGGGTGTGTAGACTTTTTATGTCCACTGTATACCACACACACACCCCTCCCAATCATGTGCTGCAGGTGTTCCAATCCCCTCCCAATCATGTGTTCCAATCCCCTCCCAATCATGTGTTCCAATCCCCTCCCAATCATGTGATTCAGGTGTTCCAATCCCCTCCATATCATGTCATTCAAGTGTTCCAATCCCCTCCATGGACACAGGTGTATACAATCAAGCCCCTAGGCATGCAGACGGCTTCTACAAACATTGGTGAAAGAATGGGTCGCTCTCAGGAGCTTAGTGACTCCAAGCGTGGGTCCCGTGATAGGTGGCCACCTGGGCAATAAGTCCATCCGTGACATTTCCTGGCTACTAAATATTCCACGCTCAACTGTTAGTGGGATTATAGCAAAGTGGAAGCCACTGGGAACAACAGCCACTCAGCCACCAAGTGGTAGGCCATGTCACATGACAGGGCGGGGTCAGCGCATGCTGAAGCGCACAGTGCGCAGAAGTCACCAACTGTCTGCAGAGTCAATAGCTAAAGACCTCCAAACTTGGTGTGGCCTTCAGATGAGCCCAACAACAGTGCGTAGAGAGCTTCATGGAATGGGTTTCCATGGCCGAGCAGCTGCATCCAAGCCTTCCATCACCAAGTGCAATGCAAAGTGTCGGATGCCGTGGTGTAAAGCACGCCGCCACTGGACTCTAGAGCAGAGGAGACGTGTTCTCTGCAGGGACCAATCACACTTCTCTGTCTGGCAATCCGATGGATGTGTCTGGGTTTGGCGGTGGCCAGGAGAACGGTACTTGCCTGACTGCATTGTGCCAAGTGTAAAGTTTGGTGGAGGGGGGATTATGGTGTGGGTTGTTTTTCAGGGGTTGGACTTGGCCCCCTAGTTCCAGTGAAGGGAACTCTTAAAGCAACATGTTGGACAATTTCATGCTCCTAACTTTGTGGGAAGAGTTTGGGGATGGCCCCTTCCTGTTCCAACATGACTGTGCACAAAGCAAGGTCCATAAAGACATGGAGGAGCCAGTTTGGGGTGGAGGAACTTGACTGTCCTGCACAGAGTCCTGACCTCAACCCCATAGAACACCTTTGGGATGAATTAGAGCGGAGACTGTGAGCCAGGCCTCCTCCCCCGACATCAGTGCCTGACCTGACAAATGTGCTTCTGGAAGAATGGTCCAACCTTCCCATAGACACCCTCCTAAACCTTGTGGACGGCCTTCCCAGAAGAGTTGAAGCTGTTATAGCTGCAAAGGGCGGGGCAAACTCAATATTGAACCCTATGGACTAAGACTGGGGGGCCATTAAAGATCATGTGTGTGGAAAGGGCGGGGCCAACTCAATATTGAACCCTACAAAGACTGGGGGGCAATTAAAGGTCATGTGCGTGGAAAGGGCGGGGCAAACTCAATATCGAACCCTGCGGACTAAGACTGAGGGGCCATTAAAGGTCATGTGTGTGGAAAGGGCGGGGCCAACTCAATATTGAACCCTACGGACTAAGACTGAGGGGCCATTAAAGGTCATGTGCGTGGAAAGGGCGGGCCGACTCAATATTGAACCCTACGGACTAAGACTGGGGGGCCATTAAAGGTCATGTGTGTGGAAAGGGCGGGGCCAACTCAATATTGAACCCTACGGACTAAGACTGAGGGGCCATTAAAGGTCATGTGTGTGGAAAGGGCGGGGCCAACTCAATATTAAACCCTACGGACTAAGACTGGGAGGCCATTAAAGTCCATGTGTGTGGAAAGGCCGGCGGCCCAATACTTGGGGCAATATGGTGTATATAGGCCTCATTCACACAGGTGGTCTGTTCTGTACATCCATGCAAAGAGCCAACTTTACCCGCAGAGAGGGTTCAGGTGTTCTGCGAAGCTGTACTCAGGCTGCCTGTTAAAAACAATGGCCAGGGGACATCTGCGCAGATCTGTCTGGAACTCCAAGCGCGTCGCAAGTGTACATCCACGCCAGACAACCAAAGGGCTCAGTACGCAATCTGCGTGTAAAAATGGTCCTTTGCAGAGGTGTATGGCATGTGAATGAGGCCTTAATCTGTGTATTTCACCATTGGCCCGGAGTTCACCTTTAAGGCCGCATTCACATTTGGTGTTTTGTGAACTCAAGCCAAATCCCGCCACATTTTTGCGTGTTTTTTTTTTGCATCGTTCACCCATAGGTTTCAATGGGGCCAGCCTACCCGTGACAAATCCGCAAAAGTAGGTTGTACCTTTTTCAACACCAAGCATTGTGTGTGTTTTTTAATCACACATTTTGCTGCATTTGATGCGCTTTTTTCATGATAAAAAAAGTCTTTTTTTTTTTTTGCTGCATTTGGGTGTCATTAACATTGAATGGAAAGGCGAGGGTAACAGCGGTAAAACTTGCGTGAAATCGCATGCTTTTGTACACGTTCATGAATGCTGCCATAGGCGCCGGTGTTTTTTTTAAGCTCCTAGAAGCTAAATGGTGTGAAGGCATTTTTTGAGCTTGAGCCCGGGATCACACTTCTGCGGCGCGGCATATCGCATGTAATTCACACCGCACCGCATTCCTGCGCAAACCGCTCCGCCTCTGCACCAAAAAGGCGCAGGACCCTTTTTTTTTGTCTGCACTAGAATTGCATCGCATAGGTATTCACACACCCATGCGATCCGATTCTGCAAATCGCACCACGTTTTGTGAACCAATTTCGGGATGTTGTTAACTTAACCCCTTCCAGTCCGGACACTTTCCCCCCCTTCCAGTCCGGACTTCCCCCCCCTTCCAGTCCGGATGCTTCCCCCCCCTTCCAGTCCGGATGCTTTACCCCCCCCCTTCCAGGGATGCCTTCCAGTCCGGATGCTTTCCCCCCACCCCTTCCAGTTCCGGACGCTTTCCCCCCCTTCCAGTCCGGACGCTTCCCCCCCCTTCCAGTCCGGACGCTTCCCCCCCCCCCCCCCTTCCAGTCCGGACGCTTCCCCCCCCCCCCTTCCAGTCCGGACGCTTTCCCCCCTTCCAGTCCCGGACGCTTCCCCCCCCCCTTCCAGTCCGGAACGCCAGTCCGGACGCTTTCCCCCCCCCCCTTCCAGTCCGGACGCTTTCCCCCCCTTCCAGTCCGGACGCTTCCCCCCCCCTTCCAGTCCGGACGCTTTCCCAACCCCCCCCCTTCCAGTCCGGACCCAGTCCGGACGCTTTCCCCCCCCCATTCCAGTCCGGCACGCCTTCCCCCCCCCCCTTCCAGTCCGGACGCTTTTTCCCCCCTTTCCGACACACCCCCCCCCCCTAGTCCCCACTTTCCCCCCCCCCTTCCAGTCCGGACGCTTTCCCCCCCTTCCAGTCCGGACGCTTTCCCCCCCCCTTCCAGTCCGGACACTTTCGCTTCCCCCCCCCTTCCAGTCCGGGGTCCCCCCCTTCCAGTCCGGACGCCTTTTCCCCCCTTCCAGTCCGGACGCTTTCCCCCCCCTTCCAGTCCGGACGCTTTCCCCCCCCTTCCAGTCCGGACGCTTTCCCCCCCCTTCCAGTCCGACGCTTTCCCCCCCTTCCAGTCCGGACGCTTTCCCCCCCCCGGACACTCCACCCCCCTTCCAGTCCAGACACACTTTCCGGACCTTTCCCCCCCTTCCAGTTCCGGACACTTCCCCCCCTTCCAGTCCCGGACGCTTTCCCCCCCCTTCCTGTCCGGACGCTTTCCCCCCCCTTCCAGTCCGGACGCTTTTCCCCCCTTCCAGTCCGGACGCTTTCCCCCCTTCCAGTCCGGACACTTCCCCCCTTCCAGTCCGGACACTTTCACCCCCTTCCAGTCCGGACACTTTCATCCCCCCTTCCAGTCCCACCCCCCCTTCCAGTCCGGACACTTTCCCCCCCCTTCCAGTCCGGACACTTTCCCCCCCTTCCAGTCCGGACGCTTTCACCCCCCTTCCAGTCCGGACGCTTTCCCCCCCTTCCAGTCCGGACGCTTCCCCCCCTTCCAGTCCGGACACTTCCCCCCCTTCCAGTCCGGACACTTTCACCCCCTTCCAGTCCGGACACTTTCACCCCCCTTCCAGTCCGGACACTTTCCCCCCCTTCCAGTCCGGACACTTCCCCCCCTTCCAGTCCGGACACTTTCCACCCCCCTTCCAGTCCGGACACTTCCCCCCCCCCTTCCAGTCCGGACAGCTTTCCTCCCCCCTTCCAGTCCGGACACTTTCCCCCCCCCCTTCCAGTCCGGACACTTTCCCCCCCCTTCCAGTCCAGACACGCCCCCCCCCTTCCAGTCCCCCCCCTTCCAGTCCGGACGCTTTCCCCCCCTTCCAGTCCGGACGCTTTCCCCCCCCTTCCAGTCCGGACGCTTTCCCCCCCTTCCAGTCCGGACGCTTCCCCCCCCCCTTCCAGTCCGGACGCTTTCCCCCCCCCTTCCAGTCCGGACGCTTTCCCCCCCTTCCAGTCCGGACACTTCCCCCCCCCTTCCAGTCCGGACAACTTCCCCCCCCCCCCCCCCCCCTTCCAGTCCGGACGCTTTCCCCCCCCCCCGGACGCTTTCCCCCCCTTTCCAGTCCGGACACTTTCCCCCCCCCCCTTCCAGTCCGGACGCTTTCCCCCCCCCCTTCCAGTCCGGACACTTTCCCCCCCCCTTCCAGTCCGGACACTTTCCCCCCCCTTCCAGTCCGGACGCTTTCCCCCCCTTCCAGTCCGGACACTCCTTTCCCCCCCCTTCCAGTCCGGACATTTTCCCTTCCCCCCCCCTTCCAGTCCGGAACCTTTCCCCCCCCCCCCTTCCAGTCCGGACACTTTCCCGGACCCCCCCCTTCCAGTCCGGACACTTTCACCCCCCTTCCAGTCCGAACACTCCCCCCCCCCTTCCAGTCCGGACACTTCCCCCCCCCTTCCAGTCCGGACACTCCCCCCCTTCCCCCACTTCCAGTCCGGACACTTTCCCCCCCCTTCCAGTCCGGACACTTTCCCCCCCTTCCAGTCCGGACACTTTTCACCCCCTTCCAGTCCGGACACTTTCACCCCCTTCCAGTCCAGGCCAATTTTCAGCTTTCACACTTTGAATGACAATTGCGCGGTCGTCGTGCAACACTGTACCCATAGGAATTTTTTAGCATTGTTTTGAGACACATAAAGCTTTATTTTGGTGGTATTTATTCACCTCTGGGATTTTTATTTTTTTTGCTATGTAAATGAATTAGTCCAGAAATTTTGAAAAAAAAATGTGTTTTTCTTATAAAATTTTGCAAATAAATAATCTTTCTTCATAAATCTCGGCCAAAATGTATTGTTATCTTTTTAGTAAAAAAAAAATAATAACCCAAATTAGTTTATAACCAAAAATTATAATTTCTCAAAAACATTTTTACATTTTTATTTAATTTTTTTAATAGGATTATGGGGTTTTTTTTTTTATATACTATCACCCTAGCAGTAGTGTCACCATGGTGACACTGTACTACATGTGGGGGGGTGATGAAGATTATTATTATTTTTTTTTTTACACTGATTGCTTTTACACCCATAAAGGATGTAAAAGCAATCATTTCTCCTTCTCTCTGGCTGCATTCCTGAAGCCATTGAGAAGTACTGAGTGAGCTGTGATTGGTCACAGCTTGTCACATGGTACAAGGTTGTTGTGAATAGCCCTGTACCATGTGACCTCTGTGATCAGTTACAGATTTCACACGTAGTAAGCAATGATGTGGTTAACATACACACCCGCAGCGGTTCGCATGGATCCTAAATATCTCAGGTTCTGTATAGATTTCTCTGTGCTGGTATCTGACGCAATGGGGGAGATTTACTAACACTGGAGAGTGCAAAATCTGGTGCAGTTGTGTCAGGGAGCCAATCAGCTTCCAACTTCAGCTTGTTTGACAAAAAAAACCCTGCAAGCTGATTGGTTTCTATGAAGAGCGGCACCAGATTTTGCACTCTCCAGTGTTAGTAAATAACCCCCCAATGTATCATTTTGATACAAAGTAACTTTCTTCTTCGCTGCGCTGATCCTTTAAAGCTGTTGGCAACGGACCGACGGGCGGTCCTGGCCAGGACGGGGTTAAGCGGTGACAGCGGCAGGAATCTGACTTGTGTTTGAAGTTCCGTGTGGATTCCATGTGTCGGAACCGCTGGGCAGATGTGTAATCGGAGGCTGTGATTGGCTGGGAAGAGAACACTCCCCTCCCCTCCGCCCCTCCGCTTAATGGGCCCATCCAAAGTGCAACCAGAGCCTGCTAAGCTTCAAAGGTCATGGAAGACAGCAAGTGAGCCCTTATCTATCATCATCATCCTTGTACTCTTCTCTGTATCAAAGTCAGCAAGTGAGCCCATATCTATCATCATCATCCTTGTACTCTTCTCTGTATCAATCAATCAGCAAGTGAGCCCATATCTATCATCATCATCCTTGTACTCTTCTCTGTATCAAAGTCAGCAAGTGAGCCCATATCTATCATCATCATCATCCTTGTACTCTTCTCTGTATCAATCAGTCAGCAAGTGAGCCCATATCTAACATCATCATCCTTATACCCTTCTCTGTATCAATCAAAGCCAGCAAGTGAGCTCATATCTATCATCATCATCATCCTTGTACTCTTTCTCTGTATCAATCAGTCAGCAAGTGAGCCCATATCTAACATCATCATCCTTATACTCTTCTCTGTATCAATCAAAGACAGCAAGTGAGCTCATATCTATCATCATCATCATCATCCTTGTACTCTTCTCTGTATCAATCAGTCAGCAAGTGAGCCCATATCTATCATCATCATCCTTATACTCTTCTCTGTATCAATCAAAGCCAGCAAGTGAGCTCATATCTATCATCATCATCATCCTTGTACTCTTCTCTGTATCAATCAGTCAGCAAGTGAGCACATATCTATCATCATCATCATCATCCTTGTACTCTTCTCTGTATCAAAGTCAGCAAGTGAGCCCATATCTATCATCATCATCCTTGTACTCTTCTCTGTATCAAAGTCAGCAAGTGAGCCATATCTATCATCATCATTCTTGTACTCTTCTCTGTATCAATCAAAGCCAGCAAGTGAGCCCATATCTATCATCATCATCCTTGTACTCTTCTCTGTATCAATCAGTCAGCAAGTGAGCCCATATCTATCATCATCATCATCATCATCCTTGTACTCTTCTCTGTATCAATCAGTCAGCAAGTGAGCCCATATCTATCATCATCATCATCCTTGTACTCTTCTCTGTATCAATCAAAAGACAGCAAGTGAGCTCATATCTATCATCATCATCATCCTTGTACTCTTCTCTGTATCAATCAGTCAGCAAGTGAGCACATATCTATCATCATCATCATCATCCTTGTACTCTTCTCTGTATCAAAGTCAGCAAGTGAGCCCATATCTATCATCATCATCATCCTTGTACTCTTCTCTGTATCAATCAGTCAGCAAGTGAGCCCTTATCTATCATCACCATCCTTGTACTCTTCTCTGTATCAAAGTCAGCAAGTGAGCCCATATCTATCATCATCATCCTTGTACTCTTCTCTGTATCAATCAGTCAGCAAGTGAGCCCATATCTATCATCATCATCATCCTTGTACTCTTCTCTGTATCAATCAAAGACAGCAAGTGAGCTCATATCTATCATCATCATCATCATCCTTGTACTCTTCTCTGTATCAATCAGTCAGCAAGTGAGCACATATCTATCATCATCATCATCATCCCTTGTACTCTTCTCTGTATCAAAATCAGCAAGTGAGCCCATATCTATCATCATCATCCTTGTACTCTTCTCTGTATCAATCAGTCAGCAAGTGAGCCCTTATCTATCATCACCATCCTTGTACTCTTCTCTGTATCAAAGTCAGCAAGTGAGCCCATATCTATCATCATCATCCTTGTACTCTTCTCTGTATCAATCAGTCAGCAAGTGAGCCCATATCTATCATCATCATCCTTGTACTCTTCTCTGTATCAGTCAGTCAGCAAGTGAGCTCATATCTATCATCATCATCCTTGTACTCTTCTCTGTATCAATCAGTCAGCAAGTGAGCCCATATCTATCATCATCATCCTTGTATTCTTCTCTGTATCAAACAAAGCCAGCAAGCTTCAGATCAACACAAATCGGAATATTCTGCCCGCATCACACCCACAAATCTACAAATCATTTTCACTCCAATACCCGAAAGACATCCAGGAGGTGCTGCTGACCCCCTTCTAAAAATGCCGTCTGCCTGGCTGTTCTGCCATCCCTCTGGGTTTCATGTTAGTAAACAGTTATGTAGCGAGGGAAACTAGAACACTCCATCTGTTTATGCCGGCCATACACGGGTTGAACTCCAAACGATTTTTTCATCCAAAAATCAAAAGCGTCGTTCGCTCGGTAATCCGATGGCACCATCAATGAGTTCGAAAATTGGGGCCGACCGAGTCATAACGTTCCCCCCATATAACAGGCAAAACTTCTGTTCCTTCCAGGTCACGGCTCGCGCGCATATTCTTTTCAGAAATTGCATGATAGTACGATTTGACCGTCATTGAGGCGAGAAAATCGGTTGTTTTTCACGAAGTTTCCAACATGCCCGATCACCGAAAAGGGGAGGAGCCGCGAAAATCGGCCGGTGCCATTGACCCCACTAATAGAGAGAAAATCGGCCGATTATTCTTTTCGGATTTTTTAATATCATTATTTATATTTTTTTTACATACTGTCACCCTAGCAGTATACTGTCGCCATGGAGACACTGTACTACTTGTGGGGGGTGATGAAGATTTTTTTTTTTTTTTTACACTGATTGCTCTTATACTCATAAAGGCTGTAAAAGCAATCATTTCTCCTTCTCTCTGGCTGCATTTCTTGCAGCCATTGAAAAAAAATACTGGGTGAGCTGTGATTGGTCACAGCTTGTCACATGGTACAGGGCTGTTGTGAATGGCCCTGTACCATGTGATCTCTGTGATCATTCACAGATTTCACATGTAGTAAGCAATGATGTCAGAAGTGACATCTTGCTTACTACTCTGCCTGTGATCACTGATTGACCAATCAGTGATTGATCACATGATTGGGACCTCGTACAGAGGTCCCGTACAACGATCGGTGTTCCACTGTGTCCGGAGGATACAGCAGACACCGGATCGCGGAGCGC